TACATTTATATAAAAAAGATTATATATTATATTTTAAGCACTTGTATGAATATATGGAAAGAATTAACATCAAATTTTTCAATTTTTCAAAATAATTAACAATAGATTAATATGAGATTTTCATTTTTCCCAAATAATCCCAGTTTATATATTATTAAGATAATATCCTTATATACTACGAGCTTTTGGTTTTTCCATTCCTTTGCCGCTACACGAATATTCTATATAATCTTCGGTTTGGGCCAACAGTAGCGATTTAGCGATTTAGGTGGTGCTTGCAAATGTTCTCCAATGTTCTTCACCGCCATACTTTTCCACAATATATTCCTTCGTCTGAAAAAAAATAAAATATATTATTGCACGGTTTTAATTGAGATCTCTAAATACTTTACGATTTTTATATCTTTAAACAATTTGATGCAAGGTTATAAATTCAGCGGCTAAAACATTCTACATGTCGGGGGGGCAGATCAATGTCCCAATTGTATTCCGCGGACCCAACGGGGCTGCTATGAGCAGCTTAACATTCTCAATATTTTGCGGCTTTGTATTCCCTTTTTTTTTCATCAGCAGTTCCTAGAGGAATTGCAGTGTTCTTTAAGTCAACTTCTTATTTGATTTCCACAATTGAAACTATGAGGTTATATTGCTTGTCCCAACTTGGTTTCAATAGAAACGGAAACATGCTATAAGTGCGTAACTTTAGAAGAGGTGGTTGCTCCTTTAAAAACAACTCAGTGATCGCGAGCTCAAATCTCAAGTGCAGCAGAGTTTTCAATACAGCCGATAACCTTAGTACTTTAAGGTTTTGGTCTTAGAATTTTTTTCTCTTACTCCATTTTTATGTAATCGAAACGAAGTCCCTAATAAGAGAAATTCAGAGGAATATATATGTATGCATATACATATGTATGCCACTTTTTTTTTTCTTATAGCAATTTTATTAATAATTCTAGCGTATTATCGCGAGAATTTGAAAATTGACAATACTAAATTAATGCGAGTCAGGTCGTTGTGTTCATTATATTTATTTTAGAATTAATGCATCTTTAGGCAGGAAATATATCTTCTTTTGAGCCATGTACAAAACAGTTTTAAAGATTCTCTCTTGTTTACCCTATGGTTAATAACCATAAAGCTTCAAAGTGAAAAAAAGAATATATAATTACTTGTAACTTTCTGTGGACATGGCCGATTGTTTCCATTTTTGCACATGGATATTTTGACGTTATTATTATACAAGCTCGAAAACCGAAATTTTTCACTGATGAATCGCGACCTATACGTTTATGTGATGAAAGGAATGACAGTCATGTCTGGGACAGAGTTACAATGCTTGAAAAGGGTCAAATTTATTATGAAGTGGGTTTAAGAGCAGACATTAACTCGCTGAACTACTTTAAACTCTTATTCTATTTTTTCTTAGGGCACCGTTAAACAGCTTCAAGATTTAACTGGTTGGAGAGGTCATTGTGTTTTGTATTAATAAGCAGTCTTTCTTGGTACTAACTAGTTTTCCGAGCATTTCATTTAAATAGCATGAAATCAATACCTTGAACAATCAGGAATTTAAAATGAGCGCAAACTGGTTACAGATGCTAACGCAACTAATTGAAGAAAATCAAGGTAATGAATCAGAGCGTGCGAAATTATGTTTGCAAAAATGGATGCAAGAACGTGATAAATTAAGGTAATCTCGCATGATGCCCATTACCAGTTAGGTTTTATTTAGCTTTTATTATATTTCGTATTTAAAATTGCATACGAATCCGGCTCATCATTTCATACATTACATTTTTTATAAAAAGGATGGGCCAATTTGATTTTTTTTTTTCTTATTAGCAATGTGTCTTTTATGACACATATGATGTCATTCCACCTTTATTTAGGAACTAACATTATCATTAGAATATTTCGAAATCCTAGGAATTTGGATAATCTGTAAAAAGTCATATTTTGAAAGATTTGCTGATTTGACGAGATAATCTCGGCTGCACTGTAAAACCAATTTGTCGGTAGCATCATGGGAAATATATGGCGCGATCTTCTCGTTATTGCAACAATTTGATGTTTTTTATTTCATTATTCAGTCAAATAAGAAATTTTTAATGATTCTGAGAGCTTTTTTAACAAGGAAGTTTAGGAACAAGGAAGTTTGGGCCTTTTGAAGCAATGTAAATTCTAGAGGGAAGCTTCTTCCTCTTGCCAATTGGAATTCTTCATTAATGTGTGCGTATTTCATGCATACGGATCGCGTCACAGTTGTGTTTAACTATTGCAAAGTCTTATCCATTTTCACTCGACCTATCATATTTTAAAATAGTGTTGAGTCAGCTCTTTCGAAGCAAATCGTTTGAATATTTTTTAGTATATGCCGCTGCATTAATGATGTATTTGCGTTAAAAATAATTTTTCTATTTTCATCAAACATTGTTCATAGGATAACGATTTAATTTTAAAATCAGCTCTCTTTTAAAGGAAAGTTGCGCAACTTTCTTTATTAAGAAATCGCTCGTTCACAATGAATTTCTCGAATCTAATTAAAATTTCGTAGGATAGAACGTTATAAAGAAGTGTCATATCAATTATTAAAAAATAAAAGAAAAAAACTTATGGGCCACCCCTTTTTATAGATACGCTATTTGTATATATGTCTCGCCTGCATATGCATTATATACAAAAGTCGCTTCGAAAATCAAAAAATAGTCAAAACTTTATCCTTTAGCAGAAATGTATATTATTAACAATATGTTTACCATCAACCGTCATCAATCACACTTAAAACATAAACATATCACGACGCTATTACTAACCATATTTCTATTACCGCCTCTCTATATTTGTATGTTCAAAGACATCGAAATAACAGGATGTGCCAACCGCTTGTTCAAAATAAGAGCTATTAAAAAACTCGGAGAATTTTTGGTCTTTCATTTACCAACAGCAGTAGGCTTTAATTTAATTGATTACTCTTTCAATCTCATTATTTGCATGAGCAAAAGTTCTGTTAAAAATTTCTTGATATGACGTCAAAGTGCATTAAACGTTTTCAAAGCAAAAGCAGGAGCATGCAGTGCTCTTTTTAAGTGAATATTTGCTGCGATGTGCGTAGAAGTGTGTGTGTGTGGATAGAATAAAATTTGTTTTACTTTCCTCGTTTAATTCATATTGAAAGCATTCTAAATTTTATGTTCGCCAAATGCTTTAATAAATTTCAGCAAAAAAATTCTACTAAGCAATTTTTTATAACATGAAAAAAATTATAGCGAATCTTTACTTACTTGCTTACAACTTACATATTCACTAGTTATCAATTCTCACTTTTTTGAGATTAAACTGACAGAAAAGAAGAGTGGCGGCAAGCCAACGCCCTCCAATGTACACAAATCATTCTCTAAACAATCTACATGAAGTTAATCAACTTGCGCGACGTACGCGCTAGATATACGTACATGCAAATATATGTAGTGAAATGTATCAACGAATTTCATCCCAGTAGTCTCGTATGTTGTCCTTCTTTAACCTAAATACCGCGTAATTCAATTTCTAAAGGATCATGTTAACATAATATGGAGATGGAAAAGAAAAACAACGAATACCTGGCATGAATAGAATACAGCATGAATGATTGTCGCATGTCACTAAAAATTAATAATATTTGCTAAAGTACATATCGATTGAATTAATCGTGTTAGTGAAAAGTAGAAAACGATTGTGAGAAAGTATTGCGTTCACAATTCACTCTTCCCCTCCACCACTCATGCTAATCACAACACCGTATTTTCTACATGTTTGCTGATATGCTACGGGCATCGGCATTTTAATGGAATCCAAGTGTTGGCTGCACTTTTGGTTTAGAAAGAATAGTGGTACAGTTTCTCAATTGCAGCTTTCATACCCCTCTGGATCTATATCCTATGTCCTTTTGTGTTTTAAGTTTTGCAATAATAAATGTATAACATTACAGAATAATGGGCACGACACGTACACGAAAAGCCTTTAATAAGAAACTTTTTCATATTAAAACTTCGAAAAGAACTGCATTTTTTATTTCAGCAACATCGGCTAAGAGAGTATTTGATGAATAATTTGGCAATTTTTTTATCATATATGTCATATATAATGGACTCAGTTTCGAAAGGTAGCTATTTCTCATTACATGGAGTAGTAATTATGGATCTGATAAATTATTTCATTTCATTTTCTCCCGTTGCAGCATCATTCAGAACTTTCATTGCATCCACATGCCACGCTTGCCATTTTTTCGTTATCATGCAACATAATAAAGTGTTCACATATATAGCGTGCGTTTAAAGTGCTTTGGGAAACTAAATTAATTTTTAATTTCAGGAATGACACTACTAATATGACGTCCTTTAAAGGGAAATTAATCTGCTGTCATAACTAAGAGCAGCTGAACTATCTCTATTAAAACGGAATGCATTGGCATTATAAAACCGTTCATAAAGCAAGTTAAACATTTGCGCAAACTTTTTGATGATGCCGACGTAGCAATGCCTAAAATTGGTGCTGTGGAGGAATTCCAAGGAGAGGTATAACTTTCGTAAAATTTCACTAATGTTTGAATTAATACTAATGTTGCTTTTGCTTGGTTTTTTTTAGGAAGGCGATGTAATAATAATTTCAACAGTGAGATCAGATAAGGAGCATGTACTTAACGATGTGCGCCTTTCATTAGGTTTCATTCAAAACGGGAAATTGTCTAACCTCGCACTATCTCGATCTCGTTTCCTTCTTATTATATACGGCAACCCCTACCTACTCCTTTTAGATCCTCATTAGCGCACGATCATAAAATACTGCGTCGATGCTGATGCCTACCTCGGTTGTGATTTGCCGGCAAATTACTTTTAATTATTTTAATTATTAAATGAAAT